CATATACATTTAAAATACATGTACCGGTATTGATAATTATATGATTATCACTGACCCAACACAATGCTAAATTTTTCAAAAAAAAATAATAATTGACCCGCGATAAAAAAAGGTTGCCGACCACTGCCATAGATAGCCCTCACGTGCAAAATCCAACTAAATAGATCCATATGTATGATGGTATTTACAGACTTGCCCAAAATATTAACTTTTAAAAGATAGCATCTTATGTTTCCAGCCTTTTCACAAGATGTTATAACATATTTGTAACCTTGTATACATGAGAAGATTCGGTCTTTGTATTTACCCTACTCACAATTGGTATTAAAATAATTCAGACAAGTTTACCAATACAACTTAACCATCTCGCATGTAGTAGTTTCGTAGATTAATTTCTTTTATAATATAAAAAAAGAACAACATAATTTTTCACAAGAAACCATTTACTGTAACATTGAATGCAGAATACAAGAGTACTAAAAATGGTAATGTGTGATATTTATCTCTAATGTTAAACTTTATATACACTTATTTCTCAACTAATATTGTTATACAACTTTAGTTTATATAATACAGGATTTCTCAAACTGGGTCCTTTTTGTGTGCATAGTAAATTTATATAGAACTAATAATTAAGTAATATGTAGATACTCAACGAGACGTGGTTTAAATATGGACATCTTTTAGTTACCAGTTTCTCTGTGCTAATGGATGTCATCATATACATGTATTTTTAAAGTTATTCCAATGTATTGGAAATATAAAAAATAAAAATATATTTTACTAGTAGTTTTCATTATGTAGGGCTTGGCCATGGCACCTTTGTGGCAGGAGTGATTACTAGCAACAAAGAATGTTTAGGATTTGCACCAGATGCAGAGCTACACATATACAGGGTATTTACAAACAATCAGGTAAGTAAATAGCAGAAATATAACTATTAACTTCATACCTACTCATAAATTTTTATAAATTTTATCTTTCTTGCCTTTATCAGTATTTGTTTAAGGTTTGTTTTCTTTTTGGTGTGTGTGTGGGGGGTGTGGGTGTGTGTACTACTCGTATATATTCTCCTATAACCTTTCTTTCACTATTTCTTAGCTTAAGCACATTTTTATTATATTAAAATGGCACCTTTGTAAAATTTAATGAAACAGTACATTAAATACTGACAAATTTAAAAATTTTTTTTGCTTGTATAACCTGTCATTATCTCAATCAAAAAGTGATGGTAAAATCTTAAAACTTGAAATAGAGGATAGTGTCAATAAATATCTTTTATTAGGTTTTACTATTACCTGTTATTATCTCAAGCTAAGAGTGATGATAAAATCTTAAAACTTGAAATAGAAGATAGTGTCAATAAGTATCTTTTATTGGGTTTTGCTATTACGAGGAAGTCATTTCAGCTTTCAAATATAGTTTTTCATTCCAAGGTACGACTTCTGATTATTCTTCTAACCTTATTGCCTCATAACAGCAGAACCTCCTATTAAAAGAAAGATACTTATTGAAGCTATCTTCTACTTTAATTTAATATCTAGTAAGTCATACAATATACTTTTAAATTACATTTTGAGGTGTGGCCTTTGAAGCCAGAAAACCAGTGAAGGAAATAAAGAAGATAAAAGACAGTAGAGTTAAAGCATCTTTATAATTTAATATTTGTATCCACAAATTGTGTCTGAAATTGTTCTTAGGTCCTTGATTAACTTGGCAAGTACCCTTGCTTAAGGGGAAAAATAAAATTGTGTGTGTGTGTGTACATATACATGTATGTGCATTTTTAGTTATTTGTAAAGCAAGGTAATGGGTTCAAAAATAACTTGTTTGTTGTAAAGAAGATTTTCAAGACCCTTTATAGTTTTTAGTAGAAAAAAAGCTGTAAAATATAATTCATAGAATGAGAAATTACCTGGGTAAGTAATGTAACCTTTTAAGTGTGATGACATAATAGAATATGCATGTTATTACTGTAGTAAGTATTAAAATTTGAAATGCTAACATTGTAGACTGTAAAAGTAGCTTTAAACTATGTACTTTCACAGGTTTCCTACACATCTTGGTTTCTGGATGCTTTTAATTATGCCATTTTGAAGAAAATCAATGTTTTAAATTTGAGTATTGGAGGACCTGACTTCATGGATCACCCTTTTGTTGATAAGGTAATGTCTTCATCACCCTTACTGAAATTGTTTTCAGGTAAAGTTAATTGTACCTGAAGTTGTTTTTAAATCCTTAATTAACTTGGAAAGCTCTCTTGCTTCTTAATTCTCCGGATATGGGTGGGTTAAGTTTGTGCATCTCCTGACCTTTTTTCAGAGGTCTGTTCAAAATATAATTAAACTGATTTATCATCAATGTATGTTAATGAACTTGGCAAAAAAATTTAGCTTGTAATTGAAATTTTAATATTATAGAATTTTTAATTACTTAAGTTCAAATGGAAATAATTAACTAAATTTTAATTTTCATTTCTCTGTGTTATGTGAACTTATTTGCTCTAAATTGTGCATTTTAAACTTTTTCTACCCCTATATGATTTTCAGAATTTAGCACAAATTTACACACTTATGCTATAGATATGTCCAAGCCATAGTGTAACTTTATAGCCTCCAAGCTTCTTGTTTTATGGACATATAAACAAAAAGTCAAATCCACATGGTACATTAAAAAATGTCAATAATTCTCTCTGACATTTGCTATTGCATTATTTATGACCAATAGAAAGATTCTGTTTTAATAAATTTTTTATGAGGCTAGTTCATCATGTACCTTGTTTTAAAAAATATTTGGCCTCAGTTCGTCTCAACCAGCTAACAGAATGTTTTTAACCCATTTATAACTTATCAGTTAAGTTATAGTTGTTTTAGGACATTCCATTTTTGTGCATGATAATATTTTGTGTTCTAAGCTTGCATATTTAAAATAAAAAACATAATTTGGGACATCAATTTTGTTACAAAAATTAGGCTTATGTTACTTACAAAGAGTCCATGTGTAAATACTAAATTTCCTGTTTTGTTATGTGTAATGTCAGTGTGCATGTTGGTAACTCGATCCTTTTCTCACACAAAACTGTCCTGTTGTGATAAATGGTTTTTGGTGTACTCTGAGAGGGTCTAAGTGCAGCTGTAAAGCAATAAAACTAAATAATACCAAGTTTGAAAAGTCTGTTAGCTTTGGTTCTAAAAATAAATAGTTTGTGATTGTCTGTTCAAATATGCAGTCATTCTAGAGAGAAAGAATGGTATTTTAAATGTATTTCTTATTTTTAAACATTTCATTTTATCCTACACTGCTTGTTTTGCTACAGTTAGTGTTAGAGAAGATAAAGTATAATTTTACTGTGAAACAACTTTGGATATTCATTTAGAAAGTTCTAGAGGTTATGCAAATGAAATATGAAAACTATAAGATGGAAAAATTATTTATATTTTTATCATGAAAATCACCTTTTATTCAGACTAGTCTGAGATAAACTGACTGTAAGTTTTCATGGAAAATATTTTATTAAGTATACTAAGTATACTCATAATGATTACTAGAAACTTGCCAAATTTCACGAAGATACACTTAGTACATACAGAGTTATAGTATATATATAGTTTCGTGGGTTACAAAGTCAGTCAAAATGACCAAGCTCATATACAGAGAGTTAAAGCAATTAAATGATGTGTCTTTAACAGAATAATGTTATATGTAACTTACTAAGTTATTCTTGTATTACTAGGCATGGTCAGCTACATTTTTAATTAATAACATTTTTATTTTACCAATCATTATTTCACACTTTAATTTGTACTAACTTTGTGTTTTTCTAAACAAAGTAAGTTATATCTAAACTATAACTTATGTTCGTGTTTTATTGAAATGTGAAGTTACAGCTTGATTAGGAGTGACCTTTGAGTTTTACCAGGCATAGTAAGTTATATGTTAGCTAGTACTGATGTTCATGTTTTCTAGGCATGGTAAGCTATACCTTAATTAGTTCTGAGATATTTAGTCTTAACAGATTTATGTTTTAGCTAGTGCATGAGATCTTGCTTTACCATGCATGATATATAGCTATTAAACGTAATTTGTTCTGAGATTTGTCTTTTATCAAGCTTGATGTTTAAATAACAGATCAAATTTTGGGTTATAAAAAGTAACAAATGTACTTTAAGAGTATTTCTTAGTGATTTTTGTTCTAACTTTGTATCTGTTGTTACAGGTGTGGGAGCTAACAGCAAATAACGTTATCATGGTTTCAGCAATCGGAAATGACGGGCCTTTGTACGGGTAAGTTGCAACAGTGCTAGACTTCTTGTCTCATCTTTTGTTCCCCTCTTCATCATGAATATTAAGTATAAAGTGATTCAAGCTGATGTAAACTGTATTTTCTGAACTACATATAGCTTTCCTACATGCTTTTACTGCAGGAAAAAAGTTATTGAACTCAGTACAGAATTGCAGATTTATTTTAGAAGGATTTTGCTTTTTGAACGTAGCATTACTTTTAGCACATGTTATTTCTATACGTTTTTGTATTTCTTCAGTACTCTCAACAACCCAGCTGATCAAATGGATGTAATTGGAGTTGGAGGAATAAATTTTGAAGATCAAATTGCAAGATTTTCTTCAAGAGGAATGACTACTTGGGTATGTTTTCATCCATTCTGAACTGGATAATTTCATTTTTAAAGTTATCAAAAGCCAACTTTGCATTTCCTTGTTATAATATGGCTTTTTGAAAGCACAGATATAATTATCCATACAGGTGGCTTACAGTGATAGACTAATTTATTAGTGTAGATAGATATAATAACATTTCAGACAAAGACAAGCATATATATATATATATATATATATATATGTATTGATATAAATGAACAAGAAGGCATGAACCTTAAAATTTTCCTATGAGTCTGAATGCAGTCTTGTGGAATATTGAACCTTTCAAGTATTTAATAGTGACTTTAAATTTCTGAAATAAAAAAATTCTTAAATATTAACATTTTCATATTGTCATAATAAATTTCCACTAAAAATGATATATTTTCCAGAATATGGAGTTTCCAATAATTTGAAATCACTAAGAGATATTTTCAAATTAAATCAACAGTATTTCACTAACTTATTCAAATTTTGTCAACACTGTTACACATAACACTATTGTAGACTCAAATTTAATAATCCGATAATAAAGCTAAGTCCATCATACCACTTTTCTTTTCTAAATGCTTCTGTAAAATTGAGCCACTGAATTGCTACAGCATTGATGTTTTCAAGGCTCGACATGAACTTCGAGATTGAGAAAAATAACTGTTGATCTTGTCTATGTCAAGAAGAAAGATTTCTGTTAAACATTAAATACTGGATTTTAAAGCAGTAGATAAAACAACCTAATGATTATGAATATTATTATCTAATTTGGATTTAATAAACAATGAAAAGTATCATTCTCTGAAATTACAAACGTAAATACATTTGTTATTACATCATAAATTTGTCAAAAAAGCTGCATACTACCTAACTACTAAAAATAGTTATTATATTAAACAAATTAATCAATTATATATTTTGTTGCACATTATTTTCATTCTTCAGTTTTCATATTTTCTTCCTCTAATAATATGTTGTATTTAATCACACTTAGAATTTTTAGTTTGTCCTTTGCATGATTGAAACTTGTGAAGAACATTTGTTAATTAATTTTTAAAAGCTAACTGTGTGGATGTCACGTTAATTGATGCACAACTACTTTTCATATTGTTTTGGAAATTTCAGGAACTTCCTGGAGGCTATGGTCGTGTGAAACCTGATATTGTAACTTATGGTTCTTCTGTTCGAGGATCAAGTATCAAGTAAGTAAAAAAAGTGCATAAAACTTGTATAAACTGACTTTATATAGAAAAACTGAAAACCTTCATTACATGTTGCTGAATAAAATATTTTTTGAGGAGCAATAATAAATGTCTACATATTAGTTTTAACACTAAGTGGCTTTAAAACCTTTTATATGACAGCTTAAATACAAAGTTGTTATACATTTTGCAGGGTATTATTAAATTAACATGATATTTGACTGTTGAAAAATGTTTGTAAAGAAGTATTAAAATCTACTATCTTATGCTGGTAGTAAAAGTTACCACAATATTAAAAACTGACACACAGTAATAAACTTGAGTTTTATTGATACATGTAAAACTCTGCTACAAAGAAGTTTGAAAATAGACATGAATGAACTCCTTTTTTTTGTATGCCTGTTGGACCAGACACTGCATACTTTACAAGAAAGAATGACTTGTATTCACTGATGAGCAAGTGCAAACTGTAGTTCCTTCCTTCCTGTTCTGTAGATACACTGTTTTGAATAAATCTTTCTAAGAAATTAATACCCATCTGTAAATATGTATTGTGATAATTCATTATGTAGCCCCAGTTTCATTGTTTTTATTAATTGTGATTTTCTGCTTGTGTCAACAGGGGTGGATGTCGTTCTCTCTCGGGCACTAGTGTAGCTTCACCTGTTGTAGCTGGAGCTGTGACTTTACTAATGAGGTATGTTCTTCTCAGTTCCATTCTATCCATTCACTAAAACAGTTAATAATGGTGGAGTCTTATGTATACAACCAACCACTGAAACAGTTAATGATGATGGAGTCTTAGTGTACCCAACCAACACTGAAATAGTTAATGATGATGGAGTCTTAGTGTACCCAACAAGTCACTGAAACAGTTAATGATGATGGAGTCTTAGTGTACCCAACAAGTCACTGAA